AATGAAGATCGGAAGGAATTCCATTAAATTTTATTAAATAAAAGCTTGCTAACGTAAGGGTTGAAAAAGTTTGCGAACACTGCTCCAAAAGTAGTTTCTTTCAATTTTGTAACAGTTACTTACAAGTTCGACTTTATTTGTTGCAGGAATTTGCATGGGACAATTCAGTGAAAGATATCGTTCTGAGCTCCTTTTTCTGGGGTTACGTGTGCACGCAAATTATTGGAAGCGTAATAGCACAACGTTGGGGAGCTCACAAGCTTTTCTCGTTAGCGCAATTTGTTTGCGGTATAGTGACACTTTTCGTGCCTCTGGCAGCGCATTACAGTGGCTGGGAAGCAGTGTGTGTTTCAAGAATAATCGCAGGTCTTTGTCAAGGAACAGTGCTCCCGTCTCTTCATACGTTACTTTCGAAATGGGCGCCCATAGAAGAAAGAGGTCGAATGTGTAAGTATCGATCGATAATGTTTCAAACAAGCTGGATAATATTATCTATAATTTATTATACAATTTATATAGTGATACAAAAAAGATAATGGCTCAACGTATAATATAATTTTTATTCCCGAGAGAAAAGTATAAAAATAATCAAGTTTGCAGATAATGAAATAATTTTGTACTTAACATTGTATGCATATATTTAGTTTCTCCTACAAGATTAAATAGTACAGCTGATTGGAATTTAATTATTCACGAATTCATAATATTCATATCACCTTTTTATTATTGATTTCACATCGACTGTTAGGCAGCAAATGAGATGAATTTCAAGAGACTATTTTATATGAGAAAATAAAATCAGCGTTACTAAAATTGTAATTTCCACTATATTTTTAAATGATTAATAATTAAATTCTGGGTCTTTTTGCATTTATAGTATGTCTATATTTTTAAAATAGAACACAACGTGTGTATTAAATAGTAAATCAATATTTTTCATTAAAAAAATAATGCAGTATTTATAATCAATAATATAACAATATAAAACAGTTACACAGAAATCTGACTTGATTAATTATTATATATTTTCATTTTGTAAAAAATTATACTGTTTATATTGTACTATTTTTGTTCAATCAATTTTATATATATTATTTTTAGTATTATATCTGTTCCAGCAACGTTTGTCTATGCTGGTGGCTGGATCGGGAACGTTATCTGTCTGCTCAGTTCCGGTCTATTGTCGGTTTCTTCTTTGGGCTGGCCAAGTTGCTTTTATTTTTGGGGTGGCATAACTATTCTATCCGGTATACTTTTCTTCATCATTGGCAAAGAGTCACCTGCTGAACATCCGCGCATACCTCAAGACGAGAAAGAATACATCGAGACCAGTCTTGGAATAACAGAAACCGAAGAGGTAGGCAATACTGTCAATACTAATTAACACTAGAACTACCGAGAATTTAATATAACTGATCTGTAACCTCTATACAAATTGTAACAATAGATTATTTTCGGTTCCTTCAAACATTCATTATATTATTCGAATGAAACTATTTATTTTTCAAATCATTTCGCAGATTCTATGCTTTTAAGACATCAATAATTGCGAAACAAAAAGTTCGGAACTAGTTATTTTGACTGGTACGGATAGTGATAGTGTTAGCATAACGTGTCGTTGTAATTTGTGCAGTAATATTGTATTAAAAACATCCGATCTTCCTTTAAAACGATTAACTCACTTGTTAATCAACATTCATATTGTCATAAATTTTATTCGGTGTTACTAAATTCAGATCGCATATAAACAATAAGTTGTGTTAGAATTAGATGAATATAAATTAGAATTACAGAAATAAATAAATGTAAATATAAACGAGACTCGCGTAAATGGATTGCGAGTAAATGGAGGGACGGGTGTATAAACTCATCGGAGGCTCTTATCTTTCCGTAAATGTTTACGAATACTTGATACGGAAAGAATATCGATATGAAGGATCGTGTTTATTTACAGGGCGTGTTATAATTATATTGATCCTATAAAGAAGAATTATATTTCAGAAATTGTCGACTCCGTGGCGTGCGATGTTTACTAGCCTTCCAATGTGGGCACTACTGGCAACGCAGTGTGCTCATAATTGGGGCTTCTGGATGCTCCTAACGAAAATTCCGTCGTACATGGCGTCCGTTTTAGGCTACGACATCAAACAAGTAAGTAAAATTGAAGTACATAAATGAACTAAACTAAAGTAAACTGATATTAGTTATCTAAAAAGTAGCTTGCTGTTGTTGTTTATTTATTTATTATCGTTCACATGCGACTATTTGTTCACATGTTTGTTCCTTTAATCATACTATATTCTGTCTATATAAAAGAAACATACAAGAAAGTCGTACAGTACCCGACAAAGACAGTCCTCGTTCTTAACGTTAATTATTTGCATCATTGACGGAGAAACAAATAATAGTATCATTGTTAACAATATATCCGGTGACATTTCATTCCCTTAAAATACTTCTTCTCTACTTTTCGTTTTGCGGAGTTAACCGATTTGCCCATTTTGTGCCTCGTTTAATACTAAACATACCGACATTTTAATACGGCACTTGATTTAAAACGGAAACAATGCACAAAATAACTTTTGAATAATTAGAAAAAGATTATATATTCGCTTTTGTTCTTAACAACAACGGAAACCTATAAATGCATTTTTTTTTATTTGGAAGTACCGGTGATTTGACTGATTACAGAAATTTTTGTAATTTTTCTTTAGAATGGTATGCTGACCGCGCTTCCTTACCTCACCGCGTGGATCCTCAGTTTTCCGACCAGTTATGTGTCAGACATGCTCATCAAAAAGAAAGTTTTCTCGGTTCAAGCGTCGAGAAAGATTTGCAACACGATCGGAGAATGGGTTCCAGCGATCGCTTTGATCGGTCTTGGATACATCGACAAAGATCATCCCGAAATAGCAGTGGCAGTGTTGGTGATCGCTGTTGCCAGCAATATCGCCGTTTACTGCGGCCACAACGTGAATCACATGGATCTCAGCCCGAACTTTGCTGGTACCTTAATGGGTATTACAAACACAGGCGCAAATATTTGTAGTCTTTTGGCCCCATTGGTCGCGAGCGTGGTAGTTACGGATTCGGTGAGTACACGGTTTCACGGAAATGGAATTCATTCAATCTTTTTCCTGCCAGTAACAGCCACCGGCTGAAAAATTGGGGCCAGTCAGAATTTTCAGCGTTTTTCGTGTTTTCCGTTAAATTGATAGAGTTAAATGGAATTTGAATAGAAACTTCAGTAGTTTCTATTATAACAATTTATATATTGATATTTGCGTAATAATGGCGTCTTGATGTCATGTGACATTATGTATTTTGATTGTAATGTTTTATTGTATATATATATATAGTATTATCGTAAACTTAATGTTATTAAAGAAATTCTCGTACTGCTGATATAAATCCAATTGAGATTGTCTGTAGTTTTCTTAAAACATATTAGTCAACACATTAACTGTTTTGAAGAGAAACATTTTGAATATTTGGCTAAATCTTCTAAAAAGATACTATAAAACAATGTACATTCAGTTATATTCAAACGTAAAGATTAAAATTTGATTAAAGACACAGGTGATGCTGAAAATTGTGAATGGCTCCAGCTTTTCTATCAGTGGACGTAGTTCTGTAGAGTTGTAGAGGTGTAGTTAATAATACAGTACTGCACACTATACTTCTCAAAACAAATTGAAATATTGTAAAACAAGTGTATTGAAATCTAATGTCCATTAACGTATGTCGAGTTTGGATTCATTTCATCGAAATTCCGATATCGTTCTCTTCTTTCAACCATGAAATTGACCGTTCAACGCCAATTTGAAATTTATTATGGCAGAATTTCGAAAATCACACAAATAAAAATGAATGAAACTTTATCACTGATATTTCAATATTTTTCAGGGGAATGTGCTGCAGTGGAGGAATATATTCTTTTTATCAGCAGTAATCTACTTCCTTGGAAATCTTATGTTCGTTTTATTCGGCACGTGCACAATTCAAAAATGGAATGATCCCGTAAAGAAAGATAAAGATAATAACTTAAAGTCAGTGAGAGAGTCCACAGTCGAAAACGGATCTGTAGAGAAAATAAAACCCATTGAAGATATGGAAGCTGAAAGGAGCGTATAGTACCACGGGACATTCAGAGAATATTTTCACTTGGAGAACCAATTGACGGCCCCAGAATGCATTTACTTTTCGACGAAGTTTATCATATTGGGAATACTTTATTGACTTTATGTATCGAAGTTGGTAACGTAAAAACGTACGAAGATTTAATAGGTATAATATCGAAGGTGTCGAAATCAAGTTCTTCTAATTACTCACATGACATGAATCATAATTGTTCACAAATTTATCATACTCATATATAAATGATTCTTTTCGCTTCCTTGCGGCGTCTCATACTCTATATATACTCTATACATAGTTTAACGATGTATGAAATAAATATAGCGCTGCCATTCGCATATATCATTTAAATATAGTTTCGTACAATTGTACAAACGTGTACGAGTTGAAATTTTGCTCAACTTGTACTAAGGATAAAGAAGTGTGTAATTAAAAATGATCAGTAATTCTGTTTTAGGTTGTAAAATCGACAAAAGTAAATTTTCAAACAGAATAACTATATTAAAAACATGTTATAGCTTTTGTATTTACAAAGGGTGTTAATAATGTAATGTATGTATCTAGTGTTCTGTCGTTTATCTTCGGAACGTAAGAAGTGATAATGAGCCTTGTCTGTTTGTATATAAATATCTGTGTGAATGCGTTATATATAATATTTATTGTAAATATAGAATAAATTATTTATTTTCTAATTCTTATTAGAAAAATATATTTATAGTTATTATAATAAATACAATAATATCTTACTACTAATGTCCACATTGGAACTAATTACTTACATTCCCACAACGGTACACTTTTGACGCTCGAAGTGTACTTTATTCATTTTTTAAAAGAGTTACGAGGCAAAAATAATTTCCTATTCTCTATCTCCAATCCGAACACCCAGTGGTAAAAGAAATACTGGCTCACCTACGATTTTTCCTGCTGCCAACAATTCTCGGTCACGCAATTACCTCGCTAGCCCTTGGCTCATAACTAGTGGATCAGCACATGAAATATGCACAGTGTACAATTGATGTTAAAATTAGTCTTATTTTTCTCTTTATACCGGTTCACTTAGCCATAGATCAACCAGTTCCGCTGCATCACTTGTGCATTGTTTCCACTCGTACATCGATGTACCGACTCGAAAGGTTGTCGATGATGCAGACTGTAGGATGGCAGTGCTCGCGCCAATGTCCAATGCGGCAGTCAATATTGAATTCCTACTTCTTGTAATTCACGTCACCCTTAGTTTGCTCTTTTTAATCAGCAACATCTTTTCTAATTTCTTTGATGTTCGAGTCAAGTACTTCTTTCTTGATTCACAGCCTTTACTGTGATGATGGTGTAATTTAAGTTATCCATTAAGGCTAAAATAAGTTAAAATTAAGTCTACGAAAGAAGACATCGATCTTCACCGTGGGATAGTTCATCATTTCAGACTCAAGAAAGAAAACAGCAGTTGTGGGATTATTTTTAAGTGTGATAATGATAAATGCGTTAAAAGTAAGATTTAGAATTCGAAAGGGATGTCGATGGAATTTAATTTTCATCCACCGCCCAGGGTCTCCTCGCAGCAACCTCCACGTGGTGAGACCTGGGCAACTAGCATTATTCTTATTACAGTATTTTCTGTAAAAGGATCATGGTAGGCTAATTGGCTGCGATAATTTTGTAATTTACATGTGAATTATGCAAATATTCGCACGTAATTATTTAGATAATGTTTACGTTTTTCGTGGATGATGGAGAGAATTATTTAACTTTTGTGAGTACGTGGCAACACTGCGATACATCGGATCTACCTCCAAAGACTCTTCTTTCATAAATCAAAATATAGGTTTATAATTAAGACGTTTATATGTCTATATTAGTATTGATATCAGATTGCTTCTCGCATCGGACATCCTTCTCTTGCATACACACGTGAAAATTCATAACATCAACAACTTTGAAACACGTAATGTACAATTTATTTTGTATGTTCCTTTTTAAACATTTTTTAAAGTACATAAGTATACAGTTGAGCCATTTGTAATTATACGTAAATTATGTACAATCATACTACTAAATATATTAGTTAATAAAAATACAGTTAAATAGTTAATAAAAATAGATACAATATTCATAGAAATATTGTATTATTATTCATATATTATTACTATTTCTCATTTATTCTTTCTTTTAAGTACTGTAACGTCACGTGCCTTGTCTATGTCACATATTTTACAAATTGAGCAGAGCGTGTCCATTGAAAAAAGACACTCTTCGTCGCCAGACTGGGAATTCGCATAATTCATGGGGTATAAAAATAGTTTAGTTCGCGTTTGCAAAACTAGCAAACGTGCATAAATGTCCACAGTCTACACACATTTCCAAATGGCACTTCGGTAATGCGCGTGAAATAACCTGTCAATAATTTTCTTAATAGAATCGTGTAACGAATATTGAAAGGATAAGAAGCAAAGACGAAAATATCGGTATTCCACTTGAACTGAGCATTGGCTCGTTTTCTATCAGCCAATCGTCGATACTTTTCCTGTATTTTTCCACCCATTCAATATTTCTCATTGAATTTTCGGCTGTACTCTGTGCGACGTCAGCCTGAACGCCAACCCTAACGTGGAACACGCTCAACTGAGAACCAAAAAAAAATGGAACAAATTAAAGAAATTATCTTGAAAGTGTTATAGGGCAGGTAATTCATAGTATGGATCGCGTATGATCCCTTTCTTACACTCCAGAAACATATGACATGTAAATAAAATTGATATTTCTTAAAAGTCAATAATCTAGAATATCTCAAATCTAATTGAAAAAATCCACGGAGACGAAAGAATATGCTGAAAAGTGTACAAGTTAGATAAATGTATTTTTGAATGTACGTTTGAGTGAAATGTACGCGAAGTTGTATGCGAATTTCTTGTTAAAATTTGTTAAATGTATCTCCGAGGCTACTGTTAGAACATATTTTATTATGGAATATATTCGAATAGTTTGCAGGATGTGTTTCAACAAATTTTAACAAGAAATTCGCAGCATTATCGATTCAACATTTTACTGCCACCAGATTGCTCAACAACGAGCAATAATATTCGAATATTTCGATGACTGTGAATTTTCACATTCGAAGAAACGCGGAAAATACGAAAATAAATTAAACTTCTTGAGATCATATTCCGTTAGAAAACTCAATCCTTTCAGGATTTTCGATTATTACGGTTATCATGAATGTTCTTTCGTTAAATCTTTATAATCGAGAAATTTGATAAGAAACCCCTACAGGTCGAAATTTGTTTGTCTTCCCTTGAAATTCGACTTATCGAGGTTAGATTGTACAAGATTAAGAGATAGCAGGACTAATTTCGTCAACGTACCCTGACATAATCTTCTGAAGTTACAATTGCGCCTCCAAGAGTTTGTATACATGTGTTGAGCTTCGATTTGTAATCCTCCCTAAAATAATAAATAATGGTATCATTTGACGTGATAGAAGCCTATCAATATTTAGTCACATCTCTATGTACTTACAGCGTCTGGATCACGTCGTAGTTTGCCTCGAGTATATCAAGGACCAGTTTAACGCCGCTCGCGTGATTAGCTACGATTGCTTGAACTGCATATTCAAAGCTGATCGGCGAGTTCTCTTTGAAGGATAGAAGAAGGAAATTTTTGAGGATTTCTTCAGAATCGGAACAACCCATAACCGTGAGCAGAGTGTTTCTCTCAACCTTGTCTTTTGTTGATTCCGCCAATTTAGTTAGAGTTCCATTCCATGTCTCTGCATTGGCGGATTTCAATCCGTTGCAAAGAATATTGGTTTTCTGATCGGGATTGAGTCTAAAATGAGGAAACATAATTAACGATAACAACCTGTTGCTTCGTTGCTAATTGTCCAATGTGTTAACGTAGCCAATTAAGGGAGGAATCAACTAATTTTTCAATACTTTTTGTGTTTTTTTTTGTTGTTGAGAATTATTAACTAGGAATACTTATTGTTTTACAAGTACAAAGGTACATCCAAAAAGCAGAAAAGAATCTTGATTTATTCTTTTTATCGCTTTTTTACCATACTATTGTAATTTCCTTTTTATTTTAATACTAATTTACTTTGACTCAGTAATTAGTATTTGACTAAAAGAACTTTGACATCAGATATCCAGTTGGTCAAGTAAGTTGGCAACGGATGTGTTAATGCTGTAGAACGGACTGAAATATCGAAAACTTACTTTGTATTATTCTTGTACCAAGCATCGAATGCACTCTTAGCATACTCATTGCATTCATGTATTTCAGCTTTGCAAGCCCACGTCATCAGGCTCGGTTTTAGGAGTTGTACAACGTGGGCGTCGTCGGGCTTAATTTCGTAACTAGTCGTGTTCCTCAGAGTCGTCGTTATGAACTTAATGTAAGTCTACAAAGATAATTCGAACATTGTATGTAATTTTGGCCTTTTTATAAGTGGTTTTCTTAAAGAAAATGTGTGATTTTGTTCATGAGTCAAATCGACTCGTGCCGGAAGAGATATGTAGGTATATAAAAATGTCGGTGAACCTAGCGTTAAGCGAGCATCGCTGTATATCGTCAGCGTGTATACGTATTTACCTTGAAAATGCCGTACTGCGGTGAACTGTACATCATATTTTGTAAGAAATTCAGGTTTCTGAAAGTTGTCGTCCACGGAATGTAATCCGTCTCATTTTTCAGGTAAAGTGTCAACGACAACGCAGTGTCATACTTTGTGCGGTTTGTGCGTGCCATGATCAAAACGTCGTCGATCAGTTGAGCACGGTTCACAGGATGTATGTTTGACAAGTTTTTGTTAAGGGCTTCCGCCAGTTTGTTCCAGTTCTCTTCCGCGTAGTTTACACGGTAGTAACCTGCAATATAGTTCGGGCATGAGTTGGAAAATCCAAAATTACTTTTCTAACGTATAAACTTCAGTGCTGTTTGCAGTTGAGGATAGAAACTCTCGGTGCTGTTCGTACTTTCGGCAATTGTTTCGATCAGTTGTGAACAACAGAAATAAATCATAAGTGATTTTTCAGAATTATATTATACCGGTTTTATAACATATTTTTCGGTTCTTGAAACAGTTATGAAGAACCGAGAAGAGCAGTTCTATAACTGTTATTTTATGGTTTTCGAGACAGTTGCGAAGAACCGTAATGAAGAACCGAAAAATAATTACAGAACCGCTCGAAAAAATTAAATGTTAAATATCGTTTTAAATCTTTGGGGGTCGGTTTATTTTTCCTCTAGATTCATTAAAAAAAGGTTCCATCGAAATCGATGATTCAACCTTCGACATCGCAACCTCTCCTTACGTCAGTCTTAATTTCTTCCCTTAAATCTTGTCCTTAATCCTTCGCTCTCTAGAGTGCTCATGTAAAATACTTTATTTAAAGTATTTGATATGTCTAAAATGTGTACAAATCCTATGAATAGCGTATCACATGAAACAAGTATTAAAAAAGCACGGGGTCCACATGAAAGATTAAACTTACTTATTTATTCTCTTTCTGATTATTCATTTTCATTTTTATTATTTGCTTAGAAATGGAAAAATAAAACGACCACATTGTTCAGAATTTCTTTTATGTAAAAATAGAAAAGTGTCGCTCAGTTTTGAAATTGTGACGAAAGAATCGCGCCGTTTGTTGCTTTCCGACCGAGTTTTTTCAAAAACCCGTGGGACTCCAACGGTTAAAGAGTCGAGAGTTTTACAGCACTAATTTTAATTAGTACTCTATACTTCTAATGTTTGACACCAACGTTTTTAAACTGTTCGTATGTCCAACTGTACGCACCTGTTTGTTGTTTGTTCACAAGAATCCAACCTTCAACGTTCGATATTTCCAAAGTATTATTTTTCAACCAAATAGTGGGTTCAGTGTTCGCGAAGTCAGGCTTCGCTTCCGTGGCGTATGTAATTGGCACCGACCACTTGGTCTGTTTGTCGGATTCGTATAATAAAAATCGTTCTTGACTTAACTTGAATTTTCCATCGACCTTCGACACGGTAACCAACGGATATCCCGGCTTAGTAATCCATTCGTTCATGATCGTACTGAATTTCTCGCCATCCCAAGTTTTATTTGCCGCAGATTCAAGATGCTGAATAAGATTTGCGGATTCGGCGACTTTTAACTCACTATAAAAATTATGACGAAAGTCAAATTAGCCCTTTGAACTCTGTAGGCTCCAATATTGCAGCAGTTATAATATTAAATATTTTAATGAGTTAAAGAAACTACCCTAATATTATTAGATTTTCTATTATTAATTATTAGATTTTTATTAAAAGATCTAAGATATGTTATAGCATTTTTCATTTTCACTAGAGATACCATAAAAATTAGTTGCAATTGCTGATTACAAAACCGTCTGGAGTGCTAAGGGTTAGTTTACCATAAAAATATTTTTGAAGAATTTCGTGATAACGACTATCACGTTGACTAAAAGATCTTCTGTGGTTTCATTCAATAGTTTTTTATCCGACGAAACATGTAATCTACTGCTATTGGAAATGATTCTTTTATTATAATATTATTAAGTTGTTCAAATGATAAATTCTTTGTATTTGTCGACCTGAGTACTGTGATTTTGTGTGGTACTTACAAAGCTTTCAAGTAAGATTGTAAACCTTTCTGAAACACTTCTGGCGTCAGGATATGGGACATCATTCGAATAACGGATCCAGCTAAAAACAATATGTACAATATATTACGATATTTTACAATTCCATTATTGTTACTTCCAACGTTAAATAAGAAATGGAAAGAATCAGTAACTGATGGCACGTTTCTTGGCAAAAAAATGAAGATCACTCAAAATTTTCAATATTTCTGAGTTTCTAGTGAAATTTAATGGTCTAGACATAATTAGATAATAATTTTTAATAACTAATAAAGTACACAAATAGTTACATATACTTGCATTAATAATTTGTACCTTTTCCCTTTATTTCAATTATAGTGCATTCTTTCTGATATATTTTATTCGCACTCTTACAAGTATCCTAAATTTTTGGATGATTTTGCCAAATTTGCATGTTTTAAATAAACTCCAGACATTCAAAGTACTTGTTTTAATAGATTTGTGACTTAATAATATATAAGTTACTAATACCTACGTGTAAAACACATTAATATGTGCTAACGCTCGTAACTAAATGTCATTTGGTATTTTATATTCAACGAAAAATATGAGAGACGTTGAGAATTTTGAATAGCCCCAGTTTCTTAGCCAGGGGATGCATACTATCAAAGTTATCGAAGCTATCGAAACTATCAAATTGTTGTTGATCCTTTTAACACATTAAGGACCGCTAAGAAATCTTGCACGTTACTAAAATCCTCATTACTTTTTTATTTATGAAGCAATTTTTGCGAAACTCTCAGAAATTGTAAAATAGGATGTATTTTAGGCAATTATTAAAAAACATGGTTTTCAATAATTATCATAAAATTTTTATTTAAAAATCAATTTTACCAAAGTTTCTAGTACTTTTTTAATGTACGATATATAGTATGCAGCACGAGAAAACTCGTGAGCGGGCCTTAATGTGTTAATACCACATTAACCAACCGTTGACTACATTTTACATCCGTCTCCCTCGTTTAATTTGTTTAAGAAATGCCTCACTAAAATTTCCCTGTATTCAACTCTTCTCGAGAACACCGTCTTTTATCACTGCACTGATAATATTTACGACGGCCGTGTTACATGCCAATTGATAAGATACGATTCGGTTACTATGTATTCACGCTTTTCTGGATGATCGTGTGTCATTGTTAAAAATTCCTATCGTCGTTAATTTGACGTGTTTTTATCTTATAATACGATCAAGGTATCGCAATCGTTGATCCTCAGATTTTTACGTGGTACTGATAAAGTTACGCAACGCGAGGCAATAAACTTTGTCACGTAGGAGAATTAACGATGACAGATTTATCGTTATTAATGATTTTACCTTTCTGATAGGCGATACTGTCGAACAATGCAGAAATTTCTGACGGCTTCTCCACCGCTTTGTTCATGGGACGCGATTTTGTACTGGCGTCCGCGATAAACGCGTTCCCTTGCGTTACCTCAATTGCATACAAATCCGTCAAACGCCACGACGGCTCGATCTGAAAGCGAAAATTCATTCGGAAGTTAATTAAAAAATAACGTATTCCATCCTTTGAGTAAAGTGTCTGATTCTTCCAAATATTACGTTCATCGGAAAATTCTGTATCTCTTTTTTATGGAAATTGGGTATTGCTGTAGAAGTAATTAACAGTAGAACTACCGAGCATTTGATACGATTGAAATGTAATCGCTATGAATATTGTAGTAATAGATTATTTTCGGTTTCTTCAGACATTCATTATAGTATTCAAGTGAAACTATTTATTTTCAAAATCATTCCGAATATTCAATACTCTGAAGATATCAATAATTGCGAAACAGAAAAACTGAAGCCAGTCATTTTGACTGGTACGGTAGTTCTAGTGCTAATAATTAATTATTAATAATTGTATCACAATTTTATTATATTATTATAATTATAATTAGCATAATTATATTATACTATTATTAATTAGCTCAGCACCTTAGATAGAAGATCTTTATGGGAAATACAAGTTCGACGAAGTGATGCGAAGAAGCAAGACTTAAATGAAAGCTAATGTTTCTCCGTAGGAATCTTAATAACTTGAAAATAAAATAGTAGCAATTTTGAATATTTACGAACACTTGTTTACTTCGTATTCTGTTCATTTGTAGCTACTACTAATAATAAATTAACCAATGTTACTCTACAGCCGAATGTTGTCATTTTAAAAGCGGATTAAAGTACAAAGAATTGATAACGCGGATCGAATGTAATTTTTCTAGATAGCGACACTTGAGAGATTCGAAGGTGACTTTCGATTTCTTAAATAAAAATACATATATATACATATAATGTGTACATATAATGTATATATATAT